CTAAAGTTAACTTTTTCGGCAATCCTGAAAACAGTCCTAGGCCCAAGTCTGCTTTTCTTGTTAACTTGATTTTGTTCCTTGGACCGATCGGGGCAGTGCTAAATCCTATAGCAGGTTAACTTTGACCAGTCAAAATCACTAGTTGTCAAGTTGTCTTGCTGTACAGGTTATGACTTCACCCATCTTTACCTACGTGCTATCTTTTGTATGCATTTGACTTAATTTTTGATCCATAGTCTAATTTGATTTGATTCGTACCCTTCGTTGATGATCGTTATGGAATATCCGTTTCACAGATGATAGCGGATATGTTCTAAATGTCGTAACTACTATCCCGTCCCTTTTTCCCCGAATGTGACCTACCGAATTAGACTTATTACCGGACTTGTACTAACATGAGCAACACAACGGGTGCCACATGTGGAGCAGGATCTGCTTACCCTTCCTTCCGGATCATCTGAGATCACCCCCAGTTTTTGGTTTGGTTCGTGGTACTCAGTCTTTAGTTTTCTAAGTTGTGTTTGTGTACTATTGTTTGTCTGTTAGTCTTTTTCTTTTTTAGCAATGGCGTTGTCAGTTTATTTTCGATTTTTGAGTTTGAATATCCCTTTGGTATCTTTCACATCTCTTTTAAAAATACGGTCCAAGAAAGAGCATTACAAATCAAACTTACTAGTATTTAGTTCGTTTAAGATGTTATGATTCATCTTGAAAATGAAATATTGGCGAAAGTAAATAGTCTTCATTTTTCATTTTTTGAAATAATGTCTTGATCACTGATGTATTCACTTTTTACATATAATTCTAGATCATATGTACAATTGTGTATATAAGTAAACTTCCATTATCCAAATAAATTGTGTTCAAACTAATGCCAAGTCACGCACGAATTTTGAGAACGCCCCAAAGTTATACAAAACAGCCACATGTTAGTTTTACAAAAATATTTTATATATCCCATAATACAATACAAATCTTCAAAAGTGATTTAAAGCGTTGATTTTGCTGTTGTTCGTATGTTTTATCATATGTATATAATAACCAATTACCAATAATGCAGTGCTTTTGCTTTTCGTGCCGCCGTTTCACATATTGTTCTTGGTGTAACTTTGGAACTCTTTATTTGTTAAATGGGCAACGAAAATTTGTTTTCTTCAAATTGATTCATCAAACATTTATTGTCCTGTATGAAAGAGACATTTCCGTATTATATGGGAGATTAGTTTTTTGGATACGTAAATGTTTGCGTTATTTGATTTTGCTCGTCTCAGGATACACAGTAAGCAGAGTATGTGTGCTGTTCCAACGCTCAACTTTGATGATCTAGAGGGGAATGGGTATACCCGAAATAGAATATACTTCGGCTTGGATTTGACCAGCTCTTTACATGTCACGAGATGTTTGTTGAATTAAAATAGTGTTTCTATAATTAAGAAAAGTATCTTGTCAATGTATACTTTTGAATGCTCTCTTTGTCTTCCAAAAAAGTAAAATAACAAAAATGGGTCATTTTCAAAAAATTTCGAATTTTGAAATTTTGAAATTGATTTAAAGTTACTTATTCAAACAACCCTCGTCATAAGCAATCAAAACAAACAGTACTTATAGAACAACATATAAAAAGATGCAATCTTGATAATGTCATACAAGAATATAATGAAATATTTTTTGATAGGTGGTGCAATATTTTGTCTCTCCTGTTACCATGTTCAAAAGAAATTTCGGGTTATTTAGAAAAAGTTTCGATAAAATTTTAAGCTTATTTTTCGTAGCCAATAAGATGGTTTTCAAGAGTAAAAACTTCCATATATATTCATTCCGTGAAATAATAGATTATTTGCTAATTTTCAATGTTGTACTGAAAATGCCTACACAAATTGATTTTCAAAGGTTAAAAAAATAACCACCAGTAATGCAAGTCTAATATAGCAATTCATAATGTTCAGTATTTGTTCTCTCATTCAAATAAACCCAACATCAAGTAAATCCCTCGCACGTTGGTTTACTTTTGTCCTTATTTTATTGGTAACAGGAACGTACGTTAATGATATATCACTATAATAAGTTCTATCCTGTTACCTGTTTGTCTATCCTGTTACCGATAGCAGTATTGCACCTGCAAATGCTAAATTGCGAAGTTTAAGACGTTATAACCTTTAGATAAGTTCAAACAACGAAACATTTCATTATGTGTGCAACTATATGTTATTATAAACTTTTTAAAGACGTTTCTGTCTACTATTGTCTATCCTGCTACTGTAACCATAGCAACCATAGTAAGGGGATAGACAAATTTCTTCATTTTTAAATGCTGTTGTGAAATAACTACTCCCTTTGATGAAGTGATAATGTTTTTCTGTTGTGATTTTGGTTTCCAACACGTTATTGCACTGTTTGCAAGTATAATATTAGTGTAATCAATCAATATGTTGGTAACAGCATAGACATGACAAAAAAGTACCCACTATTTGTTTTCACTTAATGTTTTGAAATTTCTTTTCTCTACACTGTTATACAAGAAACGTGCTGTGTTAAATGTTAAAGTTACTTTGCGCTTTTGAAATCAACACTGACTAGTTCAATATTCTGAAGGGAAAAAAATTTAACGGCTGATTTAAGTAGCGGTAACAGGATGGACATGAACTTCATGTACGCTGATTGAATTTAGTTTGTAGAAAAAATGTTACATATAATAATAAAGAAGCTACGATTTTTCGTCAGAGTTATTATTTACGTTCCAAAAAAGTCCCTTTTGCAGATATCAAGGCGATCCGAAAATAGGGAAAAAATCATTTGAAATGTGTTACTCGGACACTGTACGCACATAAATTACGCAAAAATCGGACTTAAATATATTTTAATCTTAACATAATAAATCTAAATCGTGTTTATTATTAATGTTCTGACTCATAAACCCTACAAACTTTCATTTAAACACTTACAACTGCATTTTCCATTAGAAATAAAAATTTTAGCATGGGTGTACTGAAAATTCGACATTTTTTTGAAAATGTCCCGAATATTGAACTCCAAGGAAAATTCAAATCTGAAAGTCCCTTATCAAATGGCAAAATCAAAAGCTCAAACACATCGAAACGAATGGAAAACAACTGTCATATTCCTGAATTGGTACAGGCATTTCCTTATTTTCAAATGGCGGATTAAACTAGGTTTTATAGCTAGCTGAACCTTTCACTTGTATGACAGTCGCGTAAAATTCCATTATATTGACAACAATGTGTGAACAAAAGAAAAAGACATAATAGGTAAAAAATGTCAAAAATAGGGATAAAGCAGTCAACATAGTGTTATAATCTTAATCACTATAAAAACAAACAAATATGTCAACAAAGAAAAACAAAATGGCTTATGGACAAAGCACATAAGCAAAAATGAAAGACCAGAATACAAAAAATTACCAGTTTACTCTGTTTGCAAGTATACAATTATTTAGACATATACAAATGTTTTAGCATGCTGCCCGTAGCAGCAATTGTTTATTGAGCTTTTATTACAATGCAATTTAACTTGCTTGCGTACGTTACTGACACGCTGTTTAAATAATATTGTAATGATCAGTTTTTTTTTTTTATTTTTCAAGAATAACGGATTTGAGTTCATAGACTTAATGTACACATAAGATCTATCACTTAAATTTCCTGGTCAGGCTCTACAGATGCAAGAGACGTCTTTAATTTTGAACGACACACACGTACTTAACTCCAGTCATAAAAGTGATTGATTGAATGATTGACTAATTGATTGTTCGGTTGATAAATAAATTGATCGTTTGATTTATAAATTGCCAGTTTACTTCATTGTGAATCCAGTCAATATTTTTGAGGGAGAAAAAACTCTCTATTGTGATTTTTAAATGCTAATGCGTGTTGGTATTGTTGATTCGAAAGCAACTAATTACAATATAGATTTATATGTTATTAGAATGTTAGCTCTTAAATGTTCTCTTTATTATCTGAATTATTTATACGTATATCGTACGCTGTAGGTTAATAAGATATATTTATAGGATTTTAAATCTACTGAGATAGCAAGCTGCCAAAACTTAAATTAAATTCAATTTCTTGCTTTTTATGCATTTTTTGTATTAATGTTAATCATAACTAATAAAAAACGATATCGTCAATTGTTGGATTTCACCGAATCTCTTCAAATTAAAAAAAAATAAAATTTCGATGTTAGTTAGACAAAATTTGCCTGATTTTCTGTATCAGTGTTATGTAGCGGTCAACAGTAAATCAGAAAATTAGTCAAAATTAAGTTGTTCAGATGACACCTAATCCAATGATTGTCCTGATATGCTGGTACTTTTAGTGTAAATGTACTTGTTCTCTCTTTATTAACTTAATATTATATTTTATTGTGTCATGATTTGATTTAGCACGGTGTCATAAGGACATTATTGCTACTTACGCCCAAACATCAATACTTCGAATTTTGCATAACTTATACAATGATACAATTTCAATATAAAATTTATGATTATGAAATAAGTCATGAAATGCAGTTTGCTACTCTTTTTACAAATCTCTCCCTCGACAGTATTATTAGTTATTCTAGTATGTACATGATGTAGTGTATGTACAGATGATACTTTAAGAGTAACAAAACCTATCCACAGTTGATCAGTTAAGTAATAGATAATTGAAGCCTCACTTTCGCTGGAATCTTACATTCAATTAATATCACCCGGTTACAAAAAACAATAACTATTGACATTAATGCGCATGTAGAAAAGCATTATATTTAATTTGAATCAAATATTATAATGATGAGTTGCAACAATGTATGCATAATGACAAACTGTTTTAAGATTTCATAATTTAGAAGGCATCCTTACTTGTTAGCAACACTTTTATTGATGTGTTGTTTAAACAGAATGCTAAAATATGAATATATCAGTATTGCCAAAAGTATTCACATCATGCAACACATATCCTTGAAGCAATAATACAAAGATTAAAAGATGTAACCACACTTACATTTATTGCAGTATTGTCCAGCTCGTCCAAGAACACACCCTCCAAAGCAAACACCTGTAGTACTGTAACACGTATTACTCATACAGTTTTTAGGGTCACATCCCCAAATACAGGTTCCATTTGTAGGATAACAATGTTGGTCAATACATTTGGGTGGACATGGTTTTGCACACTTTTCTCCCCAGAAACCTTTCCAACATCCTATAAGTAGACAATTTGCATACTACCAAGTCTAGTAATATTATATCGGTGAACAAGTTTTTATTTGTAATAAACGACTAATAGTATATCATTAATATTGGTGGTTCTTGACGCTAGGAATTGATATATGTGCATATTGACTGCAAAATTACTTTCTTTATTCGAGCGTCACTGATGATATTTTTTTTGTAGACGAAAAGTGCGTCTGGCGTACAAAATTTTAAGCCTGCTATCTATAATGTGTTTAATGGTTTCATACATGTGAAAAGTTCAAACAAATTAGACACTCGATTGATTTAAAAGCGAAGAAAGACATATTTAATGGAATTTAATTGCACGTTACATACAGCAGTATTTTCACTTTTAAAGTATAACGCATGAAAAAAGATTAGCACCATTAGTATATGCATGCCTATTTTATATATCTCCAAATGTTGTCTTTTTGTATGATATTCAGTCTTACAAGAGACAATATTCCGTCAATTTGTTTTTTTTTTATACTAGATTGTCTTAGGAATGTCGGTTACGTCGTGTTGTTGTAGTGTGTTAGTATTCGAATTTTGTGCTTGTACCAAGTCAGGTTTATTGACCATGGCCAATGGAAAAGGAACTACAACTACAACACACCGCACACACACCGTAATATTGAATAACATGAACCCCACCAAAACTTTAAGCGAATGCAGATGCTCATGCTGGGCGGGAGAGGAGGGTAGGGTAAGTGGGATGGTGGTAAAGAGATCTTGTGCAAGGACAGGAGATGAACTGAGGAATAAACTTAAAATACTTGTTAAAATAACAAACAAAAAAATTTATATGTGTATGTGTGAAGGAAGAAATTATAATATCAATAATATTGGGCATTGTATCTCTCATTTTTGGTGTATGATATATATTCATCCCTTTATACTTCAATGTATGGATATGAGACAATTCATTGTCATTGCATTCGTGTATTACGCATTATCATGTACTCGAGAAAAAATGCATCGTTTTAATTTAGAAATGTTATGCCCTCCGTTATTCTGAACTTGCTGTTGTATTTTCCTTTGAACTTTTACCAAGGCGTATAAATGCATTCTTGGTCATGTTAACGTTGATATGAAATTGCAAACACTCGGTCGATCAAATTGTCTTACCTATTTACCTTTTCACCTTTAAAAAAATGAGTTAATGATTGTAAAATAAATTTGTTTTTATCTAAAGAAATAATCTTTACCATTTTGCGTATTTAAAATCTTCAGTAATTATGAGTTAGCATATCGGAGTAGCTATGAACAGATTAAACAGAAGCAGTAATTTTCAGTAGCCACACGGTGGTCATAATTTGACACTTTACATTGCTCTTTTCAATCTGCATTCGGACATTACAAGCTGTTACGTACGTGTGAAATACCAAAGTGAATTCAATTTGTCAAAATTCATTTTTACTATGATACATTAAAACTACAACCATGATACATTAAAACTACAACCATAATATTATAATCAAGATAAAAAAATATGATATTATAGAGCAATTGAAACGCCGTTGGTATATAAAGGAGATTCTGAGCTGGATCACATATGTGTTTAAACATTTATTTAATCGTATTCACGATCAGGTATATATTCCGTAATATACTTTTAATTTGGCGAATAATATGCCTTGACGAGAAGTTTTCGGCTAAAACTGGATATGAATTCACGCAATAATAATTGCCTGACAAAATTAAACAAATAACCGTCATGTAATTTCGGTTTAATTATAAACTGTTTCAATTTAATGGTCTTCATTATCTTAATTCAGATTACATGTTTATTCAAAAACATGACCTGTAAATTGTTGATATCATTGAATTTGAATTGCAAATTCTACTGTCGTTTTTTGCTCGATTAAAATGTTTGATGTGTATCTATTTTACGGACACATCGTAAAATGTTGTACTTTTCATTTATTATAGTGTATAAAACTTACTGGTTAACTTCTGGTGTAATTTCAAATTTAACTTTCAAACACGAAGTTGTTACATTTACAATTACTTACATTGCACTTTGGTAAACTGGTTATTTTTACAGGGATAAGATAACATAGGGAAATGAAGACAACATGACGAGCTGTCATGTCATCAAAAAAATACAACGAAGCATTGATCTTACATGTTACCTTGACACTACTCAACACAGCTTGTATGACCAAGTCAATACGACAACTAAGTGGAGCCAACTTTGATCGCACTATCAATTAAGTAATCAACAACATGGATCGCAGAACATAACGGCAATACCCAGCACTAAATGGGACTGCTGTCAATGCAGTACTGTTCAAACCATTCGCTTGCAGTCAGGTATGATCTGTTCAATCTAAGTTCAAACTGTTTAGTAGTTGCTATTAACCTATACAGATCCTAAACAAACTGAATTATCGTTGTCAATTAATCTGAAAATTGACCGAAAGACTCAACATGACTAAATAATATAATATTGTTCAGACTTTTCAGATGATGATAAGATCAAAATGACCGTTTCAAAGTAAAATTTTTAAACTAGTGATGAAACCGGGTGATTACATTGATTACCGAAACACGTTGATGTACCTCCGTCGAGAAACTTTACAAGTTCTGTCAGGAGCTAGAAAATGTCCATAGAGAAATATAATTTCAGTTACTAAAAGTAGAAGAAACGTCTCATATCGTGGTCCGGAAATTGGCAGCAGCACAGGAATCATTGGTACATGTACATGTACATTCCTACACTAAGTATTGAATATTCACAGGTAAATATTAAGACTTTCGGAAGGAAATCAGAAAATGGTGTGCTTTAAAGTCTCAAATATCAAGCCTAGAACGGTAGAAGCGTGCCAAAGCAAAAGCTACTAGAACAAAAATCGCAATTGCTGAAAAAAAAGACATGATCCTTCAACGGGAAGCAACGGGTTTTGTATAGGCAAACTAAGATAAAGTTTAAATGAAACAAAAAGACAACCAAATGACACTACAGTATGCTTCATTGCAACATGGATCAAGAGGCCACACGTAGAAAATCAGATATTGAACAATTGGCTAAACGCAGGAAAGCTAAATTGGAACAAGTAGCCGATTGTGCATTATACAAGAAAGCTGAGATAAAGGCCGCTTTCGCTTCGAACTTTCAAGAGACACAGAGAGAAGCTGCAGTGGCCAACATCCGTATGCAAGAGTTCGAAGACAGCAAAGCTCTAGGGTAATCATCCTTACCGTACTAAAGACTCATTCCAAGACAAGTACAATACACCCTCAATCAACATCTTGACTGTGGCTGAACTTATTTATAATGCATTTGAATTTGCGACATAACGCAAGCATTAGATAAAGCTGGAGTATTGGTAAATATTTTCTCAGATAGAATTTTCATACACTTTGCCAAATGAAGACTTTTCCATGCTTTTTTGCAAAAATTTAATAAAAAGTATGGTTCACCGTGCTATTTTGTAAGCTATAAGTCGTTCAAAATTGCCCAAATTTGAATAGATTGTTCATGAAAAAACACTGTTTGTGAATGAAAAGAAATCTTTTGTATCTTTTAAAATAAAATATGAGAAGATAGGTTTTTAAATATGCTTTTAGAAAATAAGAATAAAAAATGATGTCACCGAACTTGTTTTCTTGCTATAAGTAAATTGAAAATTTCTCTATCATTCCCTTATAAAAGATTTACTATTTGAATTATCTCCCCTTAAATGACTAATTTGACAATTTTATTCGAACAAACACAAATCTTTGTTATTAGATAAATCAGTCTGAATAATGCAATGAATCGCTTATTTTTCTTTATTCCAATAAACAGTCTAACCCACTAATTGCCAATCTGTCTCAAAATTTGCAGATTTAAGCAAAGAACTAGATTTATTGTGAACTGCTATCTTACAATCAAAGATGGTGGTATACAGTTAATCTACCTTAATAAACAACATACAACCGCACTACAAATCACGAGGGTGCAACCACCTGTAAGTTCTTAGTCTGGCTCGACCGAAACAGCCAACAATGGGAAACCGAATGAATCAGTTGAAACTAGGTCAACAATCCTTTATTTCTCTTGCCTGATTTGAATACTTTTTTAATTCTATTTGACGTTATGGACAAACTGGGAAACAAAACTTTATATACTGGCAGATAAGTCACTTCCGGAAAAGTGGAAGCGGGTTTGTCATATCAATTATATGTGGAAATGTAAGATTCAACATGTCTTTATAAATAGAATGTGATCACATTCTCATTTATTGGGACGACATTCCTATACCTGAAATCAAAATGCATCATCCTCACCTAATAGAGCCCAGAGAAAGCATTCCGTTGATTGAGGATCATTAACAAATTCTACTCTTAATATTGAGAGACTCTATAAAGGCAAACAACGTCCTTGTCTCACGCGTAGGACCACACAGAGATAATTATGCCCGACAGCTGAAACTGGAAAAGATAATAATATGAGTGACTCGAATTGACCAGCAAGACATTCCTCTTGAATTAAACATAAACATAACCAAACGTTTGCTATTGCTGCCAACAGCTAACAGTCTGTATGATTATACATTGAGAAAACAAACTCAAATAATGCCATAAAACAATAATTAAAATCAATCATTATCTGATTAGACCACTAAACAGAAATCTTGAAGATATACTCTGATGTCAATTGAAACTTTGCCCACTTCATGCACTGAAGAGTGTTCACACTATTCGACGACTGGAACTATGTGCCGCCGTGCTAGCCGTTGCGATTGCACAATGTTTCTTAAATAGACTTCCCAATAGACACAGGGAAATAATATACAGAAGGTAGAGTGGTCTAAGGTTACATCAATTGTGAGACAAAGAGATTCCTTATCAGAAAAACAAATCAACAAGGATTGTTAACATAACATTTTCTCAAATGTAATAATTTATGTTTATTTAGATCGTGTGGTAATATCATGTGTAGAGTCGAGTCCACTACTATAATAATCAATACACACATATAATTACAAAAACAAGGAATTATACAATACTATAACAACTTTAGTCGAAGATTAAACAACTAAAGCTTAAAAAACACAATAAGAGTTAATAGAATCAGTGGCACTTTAATTCTACCTGAAAGGTCTTTGTTAAGGAATTCGGGAAACTGTAAATAAAATAAAAGACTCGAAAGAAAAGTTGGACAAAAGATCGACTACTTAAGCAATATACATGTATATTCACCGTATAACCTAAGATATATACATGTATGGTACTTTCATGTACCTGTGTTTGTTAATTTAACTTTCAACACCTACCCTCTACGTCGAGGTTTGGTTGCATTTTGTATTTTGACATACTTACGGTAGTACATTCGAGCTATTTGTTAACAAATTGATAACTTCCTTATTTTCTTTTTTTCTTTATTCTATTTTGTTATATATATATTTTTTTTTCTTTGGTTTTGTATCTATCCATTTTGTTTAAAATACTCCTGTCTTGAATGTTATAAGGCGAGTATACAATGTATGCTTACATGTAGTTTTAAAACATTTCGTATACTGAACATTATATATGAGTCGGTAAGGAGGATTTCCATAAACGGTTCATTTATGATACGCGTGTTTTTTGTGTTATGAATTGAGGAATGACACACATGCGAAGAAATCTTTTCCTGATAGATGGTTGTGGACACTATTTGCTGACAGAACCAACATGTGTAGTTATAAGACCAATTAGTCATGGCCCTGTTGCTTTCTATGATACATTCTGCAATTTCAAGCATTTATTTCTATGCGTCTTACGTCTAAATAAAGTGACAGTCCTTTCATGTCAAAACTTTTCGACATCCTTGATTGTACTGAAACAATAAAATTCCCTTAATTGCATATAAGATATAACATGTATAACTGATTCCTGGAAGTTTGGTAGTACAAAACAGCACTTCTGATTTGATCAGCAGGCAAAGTATTCCCTCTTTTTTCAATTTGGTGTACTATTTCTTTTATGCAAAAGGGTTCTACAGTGTACTTGAGCTTTCATTTGATAAAAAAAAATATCCAAAGTTACAGTTATGCGAAGGAACTATTTTGTATAAAATATTTACTACTTTTATGTATGTTCGTTCTGACCATTCCCGAAGTAGGGATTCTATACTTTAAATGGATTGTGTTGAGTACTACTATTTATACGGTTTTTTTTGCAGACGCTGAAGTGCATTTCTTCCACAATATCACAATGATATTGTCAGAAAAATTTTCTTTTTATGTGTAACTTCTATTTATTTTATTTTGTTAAAGACACGGTTGTTTGTTATATTTAAAACCACACAAACCTATTGAAGTAGTTGTCTGCAAAAAGAAATTTATATAATGCGCTAACATTTGTTTCACTTCCTCAAAATTATCAAAATGCAGCCAACGACAGAAATTTATTTTTGATAAGCATGTTCGATCGTCAGTGAAATGAAACATCAAAGATTAGATAATAACCTTTCATAATGTTTCGAAATGCAAAATTCCATATTTACATGTTTAAAGCATCTAGATCAGGTAACAAATGCATCCACACTAGGAGGAAAATGCATGTACTTTTGGGATCAGTTCGATATAATCAGTCATAGAACCTAGAACTTTATTTATGGTAGAATTGAAAAAAAAATGGTCAATTCCGGAACAGTTAGGATCAATTCTTAAGTAGAATTGTCCAAATCTGTTGTTGTTAAAACTATCGGAATCTGTTCTAAGGTACATGCAACTATCATAATCTGTTCAGGATAGACTGCTCGTAACTAATCTATGGGAAACATTGTGAAGGATAGAATTATCAAAAGCTGTTAAGGAGTAGAAATGTCAAAAATTACACTAGGGAAGAACTGTCAGAATCTGCTCATTTATAGAAATGTCTAAATTTTTTATGGTCCTGAAATTTTCAAAATTGTTCAATCGAAGAACTCTTAAAATTTGTTCGAAGGGTAGAATTGTCTAAATATGTTCTTGGATAGAACAGTTCCTGCCAAATACTGTTCTTAACTAGAAAGGTATATAATTTATCCCATATAAAATATATGTATTGTTATGACATCACTAGCCCCTACATGCATATATGCGGCATAACCCGAAATAATCAGATAATTGATTTATGATGTAATACATGTAACTGAAACCCCTATATTTTCATGATATACTTTGATACCTTTAAACAGACGATATTCAAGCTTGTCTGTTTATATGTATCAATGTATGCTGATATGAAAAGAAAAAAAATCCTAAAATGGATATTAAGTATAGAGGTCGTTTTAGGTACACAATTAGCATTGAAAGAGTTACCTATTGTCAATTAGATATACTCGGAGTTCAATACAGTATATATGTATTAACGTAAAGTAACGTGAACTCTAGTTTTTTCTTGACATTGCAGAAAATCATGTATCCCTATACATGCTATACTGCTTATTATAAATTATGGTGTGGATATTCGATCAATTCTGCAAAATACACTCACCTTCAGCATCGATAAACTTTCCGTTGTGTGTTGGGAGCATTTTTATTTTTAGCTTTTTTTTTTATTCTAAATTTCTTGAAAACAATATTTAAGAGGGAAGTGAAAAATATAGTTCGTTACCATTTAAAATCATGGAAAAAATATTTATTTTAGTTTTGATGTCTAGTGATATTTTCGTTGTTTGGTTTCTGTTTCATTGACGTATACACTACGTCTCCTTTTATGTATATAAACATTAACATGTTGTGCATTACCGACCTGTTGTCATATTAAACTTTGTAAGCAAAAATGAAATAACATAAATTGTACCAACTTTACTGCACAAGTCGTATTTCGACAATTATGTCTATTTAGTGGTTAAAAATTCCGGTTTTTTTTTGCGAAGGCAGCTGGTGTTTTCTTTTCTTTTTTAAATTGAGCAAATGCAGTTTGTCTGTCAGATTGTAAAAAAAACTAATTGTTGTTAATACGTTACCGTATATTTCTATGTAACATAATTGGATGAACGTGTATCTGTTGAAGAAGTACACATTTGTTGAAGGGCTATTATCACAATCGATGCTCCTATTCAGGTTAAGGTAGGCCTGTTTTTTAATATCTCTGTAGCATAGTTCAGTTGTTTCGGAATACACAGTTCCATTTGAAAGGTACAACCGGAAATCATTCATTCGGGTTGGCACTGTAAAACAAATATAATAGTAGTGATTTAATGCAGCATCGGTCATGTTGCATAAGCAAGGGGAAGCCCGTGATATCTCGATTTCGAAATTATCACAATCGAGGCGTATTGATATCTGATAAAGTCTGCTATAGATTTTAAAAGAAAAGGAATAATAAAGCTTGACGTAAGGAAACTATATTAACTGAGCAAATACCATTTCGATATGAAAATGAAGTGACACATTGATAAGATAACTACAAAAACTACGAAAAGATAAAAAAAAATATGATCGATTACATCTATAAACGACATGACAAAATGTAAACACACGAAAAATTAACGGCCTTACTGAAATCAAAACAATGAAAGAACAATACCTATGCCACTCATGAACCAACGTCAACCACCGAATGACAGGCTCATTGAAAACATATGGTGGAGTTAAATATGTTAGCGTTGTTTATTGTTATTTTGACTCATCTCAAGTTCTTTGTTATAACTTAAAACTTGAGGTTAATGCAGATAAAAGTAAAATAGTGGTGTTTGTTTTCCAATTTTTTTCATACTTCAAAAGTGTCTTTTACGTTGTCCGGTACGAAAAAGAAGGAGACATGTTTTGAATGATTTTGATAATTAAGGAGATGTCTACCCAGGACCACAACATTTAAGACAGATTAATAGTCTTTCGACAGTATAACTACTACAATCCTTAAAAAGGTAGAACTCACATTCAAAACACAGCTCAATCTTTAAGTAAAATGATCCAACCTGTGTAACTGTACAGGCGCAAAAGATCTGGTCCCATTAACTACGATATGATCGAAAAAGTCCATTTGAAATTTTGTAAATTGCTGTTACCTTGTACATTTGTTGTAAGAGGCAATAGCTGTCAAATTAACGTTCACCGATTTGTCTCAAATTCTCATACTTGATCTAAAACATGTAAAATGTTTATCCAAATAACAAACCCAAAAAAACAATTAACAGTCTTAGACTTCGGGTTAAAATTCCATTTTTTTTTTATTGTTTAATACGATGGAGACTATTTACTTTATCCCATGGTTCAGCGGGATGTTACTTTCTCGTGCAGACCAATAAAAAACCAACAATATATGTATTTTAGACCAGTCGCAATCTAATAAAAGTGGAGATGACGTATGAAGAATTTCAGTGGTCATGTGATCTGATATTAACATTAATATAAACATAAATACACAGACAAACATATGTAAACTGATAATGACGTATTGTCTAGGTCTGTTTGATTTCATGCAATAGATTTCAGAGATAAAAAAATGGTTCTTTACGGTTATTCTTCCGTTTATTTGTTAGTTTTTTTGTTTTTTTTTTTGCAATTTTGGCAGTGTTTTCTTTTAGACAACTGAACATGATTAGCACATGTGTAACCCATTTTCAACTAAGAGTGAAATTGAAAGTTGCATGAAAACACATTCATATGAGGTTGAGTTATTGACTTGAAACTGATAATACATGCACGAATTTTTTTTAAAGCTTTGTTTTACAACATTGACCCAAACTGACTGTTAATAGCGAAATATTTAAATTTTGATATTTAAAACATAGTAAAATGTTTATCCAAATAACAAAAGGTCCAAAAAAAACAAAACAATTAACAGTCCTTGACTTCGGATTAAAATTCCAGATTTTTTTATTGTTTAATACGATGGAGACTATTTACTTTATCCCATGGTTCAGCGGGATGTTACTTTCTCATGCAGACCAATAAAAACCAACAATATATGTATTTTAGACCAGTCGCAATCTAATAAACGTGGAGATGACGTATGCAGTTTGGGTCAATGTTGTAAAAAAAAAAGCTTTAAAAAAACACTCGTGCATGTATTATCAGTTTCAAAAACTAACATGATAGGTACAATAATTTAATGCTGGTCTTAACTACTTTTTGGAAAAAAGTTTAAATAAAAATATAGTAGAATTTGCAACGAACCTGTTTCGCTCAACTGATATTTTTTTAATAAAACAGATACAAATCAGAAGAACTTTTCTATGGTTACTGGATTCAAGGGCATTAACTATCTACAGGAGTCAACTGATGATTAAGGCCATGTTCGATCTTATTTTGCTGATCATTTTTGTTGTTTACAAAACAATGTAGTTTCCACAAACAAACACCAATGAGAAAGGGTGAAATAATCACTCAACGACAATCATTATTTATGTTGTCACCTGACGGCTAAGATCATATAGACGTATTTTTAGATTGTGTCCTGATTATCATTTTTGCTCTTTACATATTCTCTCCGTCTACTATTGTTTCCACAAAAAACATCACAAATATGGGTACAAATCATCAGCAGCAATAACTCTTATGATAAATTGACTAAATAAGGTGTGTTCATCGATGTTGACTTTTTTACATCTTGTCCGGCTGATCTTTTTGCTCCCTATCTAGAATAGTGTACATAACAATACACCCTACTAGGTAAAAACTTGTCATTCAAGAGCAATCTATATGACTTATATAAGGAATACACTGACGATTTCAACCATTTGCCAAATTGAGACTTTTAGTCCTACTTATCATTTTGCTAGTTATAGTTTTTTTCATCTACAATAATTTCCGAAAGAAAAAGAACCCAAAAAAATATCGGTAAAAATGTCGACTTACGATTTCGACGATTCTAACTGATTTGTAGATCTTGTCTTGCTGGCAATTTTTCTTCTTAGTAGTTTCGTGTTCACAACTTTCGTTTCAACATCAAACAGAAGTATAGGTTAAAGTCTTAATTCAAAGCCAATACTCCAATAAGGTGAACAGTGACGATGTCAACAATCTAACTTATTCGGAATCCAATCTTTTTTATTTTGTTGATTCGCTTTTTACTGTTTCTTTCTATACACTTTATTCTCCGTGAAGAGAAAAACACGAAGATAGATTAAAATCGTAATCAAAGAGCAATACATTGTAACTCCTATAAGGAGTCAACTGACAGTTACAACATATTTTCGTATTCGTTGATCTTATCCTGTTGATCATTTTGCCAAGTACAGTTTCTCTTTATCTATCATGTCTATAGAATATTCCCGATAATAACAAGCATCGAAAAAGGTAATTACTCGTTATACAAGATATATTATAACCCCTAAAATTATCGTCTGACTGTTAGTATGATTTGCCATTTTGAAAATTTGTGCCGCGACTGATTTTCCCAATAAACAATAGTTTACACTATATAAGACGATACTTGCATTTAACCTCCTCATTTCATTTTCAGCTTTGTTGGACATCTTTTTTTTGTAGGCAGAATCATCGAACACCTGTTGTAAACTAGACATACGAAGAATGATTGTGAACAATGTTGGTTTCATATGACTCAGTAGTTCCAAAGAAAAGATTTTTGTGAAACAACTGTAATACAACTGATTGCGGCGTACGAATACAATGACGAATAGCAAGTATGGCGACCGACAACGATAGACGCCAAGAGATGACAATATCTCATTTAGGCCCGTTGGTCAAGGTTTACAAAAAAAAAGTATTAAGATATTGTATGGTGTTAATTTTCAGAAGAAAAATGGGGGATCCACAATCCCCCAAATTTTCTTCTGAAATCTAACACCATACTATATTTTAATACTTTTTTGAAACAACTAATAGTTCGTATATTCAGGACTGACCATCATTCCGTAAATACATCTGAACACTAGTAATGTAGGCTAATTTGGGAAGAAGAAGACCCCACCATGTGCTCGATTGATTACCAGCTGTAGATGAACATCCATCATTCCAATTGTTATTCGCAGGTCCTTCTATTGCCAAGTTCGCATTGTATGAAATACCAGCTCCGTCTTTATATGTTGTGTCTTGTTCTGCTCTTCCATGTAAAGCCAGATTTACTGCAAATAAAGATTAACTGTTAAACAGTACTTTCTTTTCACTTGTTATCTCACTTGTTGTATACAGTTGGAAAATTTGTTACGTGAAGGATAAACTAGTCACTGACGATATATTTTATGGATACTTGCAATGTGTTAAACTATCAAATTAATGTAATATACGGTCTTTATCGCATGACATATTGTCATTTCGTTCAACGAAGCCTTAAATACCTAAATGAATGATGGGAATTTGTACAAAAGAATATAGTTGTTCGTGGTAGAATACTTACGATTGGTTCATAAATCAAGCCAGATATTGTTTAAGACATTACATTTTGTCAGTCTAAATGAAATGACAAAAAGTTGGAAACTAGATTTTATTTAAACATTATGAAATAACATTTTTCTGTATTGTTAATGACATTGATGTTTTATGAGTATCCATTTTATCTGAATGTAAAGGGGCTGATATTAAGATTGTGAAATAAATAGACAATTTGTTTTCGAAGATCTCCAAGTATTCTACTTCTCTCTTTTATAATTGTCACATACTGTGATATATCTACAACCAAAGGAAGAAAAATAAGATTTCAAGACATCATTCACGCAGCTGTTTGACACCTCGTTATTTTATATGTGTGTATGTTTTTCCCGTTTAAAACATCATTGAACATAGCAACTATACTAATGTACAATGTTGCAACCTAATTACAAAGATGATTTCTAAAAATGCAATTTAGTCATGATGCACAGCCGGTATTTCACAAATACGTTTTGGTTATATTGTTGTTGGGTTGCTGTTTCTTTGACTTTTGCCTATCATCACTTTATATTTTATATTCTTTGAAGCTAATATTTTCTAAGTATAATGAGAATATAAATACTGAATGGAAATATTAGTTAGATTCAACAGTGAACTTTACAAAAGTGTTCAACGCTTATTCAGCTTAATGGAGAAATGAAACTGAAATAATAACTAATTTCCTTATGAACAGAATGAATTTAAAACAGTTAAACATGAAAGAAACAGGATAATAATATATAGATCATAATAAGAAGAAATTTACAAATTAAAGAATTGACGGAAAACACAAACGTAACGAACACAACAAGACACCGCAAAACAAAAGCCAGAGTTTGAAAACAACAGGTTCTGTTGAATAACAAAGAGACAAACTACTGTTCACGTATAATCAAAATGCGACAAATTAAAAAAAAACTCTAAGAATAAGTAAAGGATGCTGTGGAACCTTGTGTCTCGCCTGCGTTTGCTGTAGTCTATGTAAATGTGCAAAGTCCATTTATCAGTAAAATGTAGAAAATAGTCTTATTTTGACTAGGTGCTATCGCATGAAGGTTCAAAAACGTTATTCAAGTTTTAGAATCTTTAATCATATACTGTAACTACTGTTGACTAAAAACTAAATCAATTACATATAGTTTATTTTTGAATAGAAAACAATATAAATGTCTTCCCCTAAATGGTATTTTTTGATGATCTGGGGGTGTCTGTAAAATTTGACCGAAATTCTTATAATGTTAGACAAATGAAGTTTGTGGTTTGAAGACTGCAATCCCAAAGTGTAACAAAATGTTGCCAAAAAGGAAAATATTCGATTCAACAGTAAAATACAGAAAAGGTACTAATCATGCAACTGTTTTCAGTATATTTTTTCATCATGAAAAAGCTTATCGTCAAGTTGGGAAATTATTATGAATGTTTGACAGGGTTATTGACGTCTGTAATACGTAAATGCCAGACTATATCTAAATATCAACTAAAATAAAGCACAATTTTATAGTTTCATACGACAATTTTGTAGAAACATACTGCTATAGATGCAGTCTTTGATATTAAAAAAAGCTTCCATCAAAGTTTTGTAAGATGTCATAAAGGTTTGACCAAGTAGTCCGTTATCTGACATTTTATTCAGAATGTGAAATTGCTAACCCCAGATTATTCATACATGTTGACTGCACAAATATTATTTCATGTGTTAGTAAAATACAGATCATAAAAATCAAATAAAAAAATGACTCTGCATTATATATGTATCTCTTTATAACGATGAAGTTTCTGTTAACGTTTCCTGAAATGCATTCAGGGTTTGAAAAGGGTGTTTTCGTAGAATTAAACACTGTATAAATTGACAACAAGTATTGCCCTTGGCTTGTCTTCGATTTAAAGCTGCATCTCGGGGACAACAAACTTACTACTCATTTAAAGTTTTGCGATAATTCGCTTCGATGTGTGATTTCACACTTTTAAGAGATTATTTGATAACATGCAGACTTCTTATACGTTCAGGTATTTCACATCCAATTTTTTATGGAAATATTCTTTATAAAGCACAAAAATGTCAGTATTCACCTCTGAAACTAACAAAACCTTTAAATAGACTTATTAAGAAGGGATATAGTTACGATACTGTTGTCAGGTCAGTAAAGATTGCATATTTTGGCGTTAATATTGATTCACTTATAGGGTCTTTGCATCGGCACTAAACACATTTATTTAAAAACCAGTTGTTGGCATGACACGGGTTATGTTCTTCTGATATATGTTATGATGGTATGATTCTAAACCCCTAACGGGAAGGATTGTGCCTGATATTCATATGATGAAGACATAATTTTTCAATCAGTTTAATTGAAGTCTGGAGCTGGCATGTCAGTTAACTGCTAGTAGTCTGTTGTTATTTATGTATTATTGTCATTTTGTTTATTTTCTTTGGTTACATCTTCTGACATCAGACTCGGACTTCTCTTGAACTGTATTTTAATGTGCGTATTGTTATGCGTTTACTTTTCTACATTGGCTAGAGGTATTAGGGGAGGGTTGAGATCTCATAAACATGTCTAACCCCGCCGCATTTTTGCGCCTGTCCCAAGTCAGGAGCCTCTAGCCTTTGTTAGTCTTGTATTATTTTTAATTTTAGTTTCTTGTGTACAATTTGGAGTTTATTATGGCGTTCATTATCACTGAACTAGTATATATATTTGTTTAGGGGCCAGCTGAAGGACGCCTCCGGGTGCGGGAATTTCTCGCTTCATTGAAGACCTGTTGGTGACCTTCTGCTGTTGTCTGTTCTATGGTCGGGTTGTTGTCTCTTTGACACATTCCCCATTTCCATTCTCAATTTTACATGTTACAATTCGCAAAGATGGTATAATTATATATGTACTTACTCTGTGCTGTAACTGTCATCATACAAGTCTGTATCATAATAAGAATAATATGTGTTTGCAGCTTTGAGATCATCTGAAAGTGAGTTTTGTAATCATATAACTATCAAGATTATCAACACTACCAAATATTCTTACCGATATTGATTTTAAACATAGTTTATTCAGGATTGAGCAACAGGCATAGCCTATAAAAGCTCTCTCCATAAGGATATTCTGTCTTGAACGGAGGCAATTAAATATTCTTGCAGCTATACAGTTCATTGTGCATTCCATGATCATATATAATAAAATATTAACCAAAAATCAACAATACATTTTTGCAAAAAATTTGAAAATATTCTTTTAACTTATCAAAGCGAAATAACCAGACAAACAAATAAATGTTGCTCTCTGGTTCATTACTAGAATGTTGCTGACCATCGAAATAGAATTTTAGAGTTATAGTCGAAATTCGAGTTTATGTTCGAGTTAAAGTTGTAGTTAAATTTCGAATTGAAGTTCGAGTTAAATTTCGAATTGAAGTTGGAGTTAATGTTTGATGTTTAGTTCGAGTTATGCTTCCAGTTCAAAAATATATTCATGTCCATAAAGAAAACTAAACAAATGTAGTTTACTATTTGTATGCTCATACTAATAGGAAATATCGTGGGTGAATCCAGAGGGTGGAAGACCCACTTGTGTAGGAAAATTTGTGTTTTTTTTTTTCCTTTTTCCTTTTTCAATTCGATCCCCTTTACTATTTTCGGCGGGCTTCTCTGTCCCCTTGTTTTTAAAGTCATTGCTCTAAAACAGAAATTCACTGAATGCGAACTCAAATTTAATAACTCGAATTCTTACTCGAAGATTAGCTCGAACTCGTGACTCAAAATGTGACGCATACTTGAGTTGTGACTCAAACTCTCTTACTCGAACTTTTATTCGAGCTCTTAATCGAACTTATAAGTTGGAATGTCCCTTTGGTATCGTATGCCTATGTTGTTGAGGTTTGTTTTTCTCTGTATGTCACAATATTACGACAATTCTCTACTCATAGCACGCGTTGTGCTTCAATTCTTCCGGTTAATTTCCCATGTGCATAGATGTATATTTTGTAAGATAGTAAAGTCACAAAATTTCGAAACCTACAGGAATTTAAAAGAGTCATCTTAACATACTTTAATAATTTTTCAACATTTTTGCTCACATATAGTGTATTACCATAAAATCATCACATGATTTCACAATGCCGTTGAAGACTTATTTGTACAATTTGCGACATACATGTACTGAGCAAATCAAATGACATATGTAACCAAATTGATTGATTGTAGGTTTTTAACACAATTTCCAGCACACTTTGCTATATCATGGGGGCCTGTTACTTATTTGTATGGGCCTGAGTACCGGTTGGACAGATCCACCAGTCTCCAGCAGGAACACTAACAATCACAGTCAATTAAGATGTGAGCTAAACGCACCTTGTCGAAGTGTAACTCGCTCTCATGACTTTAACGTTGATAGACTACATGAATATAGCAAGAGATTGCTGTACCTGTAGATTAAGTACTCAGGCCACACGGCATTTGAGGCACAAAACTGAAGTTATCTGTATCTGAATGACAATATATACTTAGTTTTATTAAGACTCTTTTAATTCTTTTTTTTTTTTTAGAAATAGTTTTCAAAATTGCCATTATCTTTAATCTTTAAGGTTTGTATAATGATTTATGGTCACAGATAGTAGAACTATAAAGTACATATATCAAGCCATGGAACTATGACTATCTTTGTTGAGATTGAAAAACGTTTTTTTTTTTTTTTTAAGTGGTCACGGTACAATTAAATAAAGGGTACATAAATTGGCCATCTGTCTTAGTTTGAAATGTATTTGATAACTTAAATGGAAAAATGACGAATTACAGTAGAAAGAGTTGCAAAAGATGTATACATTCATAAAAAAAGATGATAATAATGGAAATGATAACAAATAACCTAACCATATCAGTTAAACATTGTGCTAGTGATCAAATACGATATATATACGGGGTCATAAATTGCGTATGGGGTGAGAGCGAGCATACTCTGTAACGAATTTATCATTCCGACTATCTTTAAACAGGAAGAGTATATGTTATTGTAAACAGATCATGAATACTTTTCAATTATTGTAAAATTGATCAAAAAGAGTCTTTAAATCAATATTTGGTGTCAGGTGGACTATAACAGTGATCTAGTCTTCATAATTAAGAACATACATGCACTGGCGTTTACAAAAACAACTGCCACTAATAACAACATTAAACAGCTACTACTTACTGGGTATTTAAAATAAACCCCGCAACTGTGTATATGTATATCAGAAAATTAGATAAAATTTGGGATACCTATATACGGATTTTGAGTAATCATAAGAATATTCTTCAGCAAAACCAAAATGTTATTAGAATTATTTTAAATATTGTCTATCAGATCAAAATTAAATCGCATTTGTTAATGATGTCTTTCGTTTCAAAATTTAACAAAAATATGTTTAATTTTCAATCAGGTTTCAAAATTAGTATTCTGATCAGTACTGGATTTTGATTAGCATAAATCAGAATTCCAATTTTAATAGTAGATTTACTGAATACCAATTTGTACTTTATCATATATCTCTTGCAGCCATTAGCACACAAATAATAATAAGACACTAACTCAGTACTAAAGTACATTCACATGTGTGGTATAAACCTTTTCAGATTTCAAATCTTTAATGACCCGGTATGCAAATAATCTTTATTATTTCATTATTCGTTATATTATAATGATAATTTTATTTCTAACGAGTATAAGTTTGTATTTTGTGTGTTAATCATCTATGAAATATGTTTGAACAGTATGTGTTTCTTTGTTCTATTTTCTAAAAGCTTTATATCAAGTACAGAAAAAAAGTTACCTTCATTGCAACAACAACAACATCACAATATATCCACTAGTACAGTTAACCAGGAAGTACACGACACACTGTTTTTCTATATTTATATATACCAAATTTGGATGTCAATAGTAAATTCATTGTATCCCTAGCTAGTGCAGTCAGGCATACAAATATCATGTTAATTTCTTCAACAGTTATCGATTTAAATGTAAACGAAGTACTTAAAAGTATTCACAAAATTGAATGACAATTTTTTTTAACTAGTTTTATACAAAACAAATTATACGTTTGTCCTATGTGTATTTTTGTTATTTGTTAAAGTTTGGATGGATGAATCATGTACGCTGGTCATAGTATATGGAAATAAATGGCGCTGTGATAGCAATCGACAGAAAAAAAAGTAATCGTTTCATCGGAGACCGAACTGTTTTAAGTTTTGAAACATTGTAACATCACTATGTTTTGGTAAAATGTAGCAATTGCCGCTTTATCAAAGTATTTATGCCATGTAAATTCATATATCTTCATCCCGCCTCCCAAGCAACTTTAATTACATGCCATCATTAAGAATAAGTAGGTCAAGTGTGAGAATGCAAGATATACGTTTCAAATGACATACGAACACACAAAAACGCACCATGTAATACATATTACGTATAATGTGTGCAAGGAGATGCAGGTAAAACATGTAGACGTAAATACGAAGTTCTCTAAAAAACCGAGATATCCCATTGATGTTTACACTTTCATTCGAAGTTTTAAAACTACATATGTGTAATGTATAGCTTCTAGTTTGAAAGGACATGATTAAAACGTTGATAATGTAAAACATGGTCTTTGCCAAGCTTAACTTCTTGCGTTTGTTTGTACTGTATTCGTGTCACGTAGTGTTGTCATTTTAGCTGTATTTTTAACATTGCCATATAAGCGGGAGGTTTGGCTAGCCATAAAACCAGGTTCAACCCACCATGTTTTCTTAAAATGTCCAGTACCAAGTCAGAAATATGACAGTTATATCAAATAGTCCCTTTCTATGGATGTTGGCGTTTGTTTTTGAAGCAGTTCAGTGTTTCTGCTATTCTGTTGTTTTCCTCTTATAGTTGATGTGTTTCCCTTGGTTTTGGTTTGTTACCCGGATTTGTTTTCGCTTTATCGATTTATGACTATTGAACAGCGGTATACTACTGTTGCCTTTATTTACTTCGATATGTAAACTGTAAACTCCCTCAGGCAAAGTTGACCTTAGATGGATTTGGCTATTTTTTAGGTCTTCTTTGGTCGTATAGCTCTCCAACTGTTTCGGTTCTTATACATCCTTTGCTTTCAAATATTTGGCATTGAGCGTTCCGGATGAAGGTAAATCCAAAAAAGCACTTCCGACGCATGAAATTTATAACGTGTTGTTTTCATTTTTTTTTAAGGCTATCGTTTGCTTTACAACATGACTGCCTTCTTCAACAGCGTTAATGAGAAAGTTCATTTGTGGTAAAAAAAAATGCTAACAATTTTAGATTCACTAGTATATAGAATTTTATATTGATTTTTCTTTTTATTGAATTCTAATACTTTTTTTTGTTTAAATATATGCAAACATACGTATTGCACACTGTACAAATATTTCCACCCAATCTATCATGATTCGTAGGAATCTTCATCTAGAAAAGTTAAAGTCACGAAAAAAATACAATTAAGCAATGTATTAGCTGGCATTAAAAGCTGTAACATTAGCTCATAATTATTCACCGCATTGTTCATCACACACAGCATTTTTCTATTTAGTGGTTTGTGGACTTATTGTCTTTCGATTTTTGCCATGACATTGTCAGTTCTGTTCGACTTAATGTTTTGAATTTCCTCTTGGCACCTCCTGGCCCTTTTTTATAGTCTTCGCCTCAAGAGTACGTTCATATATGAATTTCTAATATTTTTAGAATTTATTAGGTAAAATTTCCTTATATTTTTATTCGACAACCTCTACAAAATGATGACCAGTGGATCTAGATTAAACAATTTTATATCCATTTTTTTTTTAGATAGAACTGCATTGTTTTATAAGAATGATGCCACTTAGAAACAGTGGTAGCGGGCTAGAAGTATTGACATATGCTTCATGAAAAGTGTCTTTTTTTAAAAGACAAAGAACAATGTTTGGTTCATCGGACTTAAGATGCGTTTTTGTCACCATGTCTACCGAACAACAAAAAATGAATAAAGTGTGTAAAGTTTAGAAATATAAAAAAATTGCATAATTGTGTAGTTTAGAAGAAAATGACTTTCAAATGAAACAGAAATCCATACTCTAGTGGTTTTTTCTCTCCTAGCCACAACGGAACATCCTTATCTATAATGAAATTTTTTAAACTGTTGATCAACAAGAAACTTTTTTGAACACTCGCTAAACCCCAAAAATGAGGTCAGGAACAGTGAACGTCGACAGACTAAACCTTCCCGACATAAGGCATCTGTTTTACAAGATATGAAGCATCCATGTCATCTACCTTCTGTAATGCAAAGCTTTATCAAGAAAACTCATCTCTGCCGTGCCCAGATTAGCATTCCTGTCTTATTGCATTATGTTACAATCTTTTCAGCTATAAAAACTTGTCTTAATTTTGCTTTTTTTTATCTGCTCCTACCTCTCTTCATTACCTTTGTTCAAGATCAAAGTTAAAACACTTTTGATGTTCCTAAAGGAGCATTTCTGTGAAGTTTGTTGAATTTCACATTTTTTCTGTTGTTGACTATAGCTTTAATTGCAGGAACAATCCTTATATAGCAAATGTGACATAACTAGTTTAATCCCGTTACATTTGCATTTGCCTTTTCTAAATCAGGCAAATCGTCAGAAATTTTTGTATGAAATAACATATATTTTTTCTTTATTTTAAACATTGAGTTTTCATGTCCGATCTCTGATTGTTTCTGTTAATATTCCAAACTTCTAGAAGACTCTGGACGATTCAGAGATATGCATATATACACTTGTCTATTGGTCAAAACTATACGTTGGCCTCTTGCTGCCTGTTTTGCTATTTTGTTGCTCGGTTTCTATCTCGTTGATGTATATCCAATATCTCATTTTGTTCGTACTTGTTACACAAATATATAAGTGTCTGAGTGTTTCTTTAAATTATAGTTTGTTTTTCTTCCAATTTTAAATGGACAACAGAACAGTTTCTAAAGTTCAGTTGTTGGCATATGATGACATGAAGAACGGTTGTTAACGTGTTCAAATCATCATATAATTAAGGGATATGAAACTGAACTTGTTCTGAGAAAAGCATCTTAAAGAGAATTTTTTTAAACAATCTGAACTTTGACGAAAAAAATGCACAATATGTGGTTTTTGTAGTATAATAATACTTTATTCAGAAGAAATACAGCTTATAGAATATACATTTTACATCAAATTTTTAAATGCATCAGTGTAATATTTATAACAATAATTATACAAAATACACGTATGGCGGAGAATGACGATAAATTCATATGATAAATAAGGAATACAACTATAAATTGTACGTATTACGGATTTTGTCGATGTTGAACAAATATTTACCTGAATTATTAAGTTCTTTCGCATTCTGAACTGATAACAACTGTATAAGTTTAAAAGTGGATGGTTTTTGCCAATACTATTTCTTAATATATTGTTTTCTTACATCACTATATCTATTACTTTCTAAAATAAAATGGTATTCGTCTTTAACAGTATTGCTATTGCACATAGTACATAATCAATTTTCTCTATCTACATTGTAATTTCTGCCTGTCTCGATATTGAGGCTATGGGCAGATATACGATATTTACATTATATAAGGTTTATATATTTGATTAACAGGTCTATCTAAATAAAATTGCAATATATCTGTGTCATATATATATCTATTAATTATACATTTAGATGAATTGTTGAAAAACGCATTAACATCAGTGATAAAGGTATCTTTCATTCGTTTTTTTAGCTCATGTATACATATATCAACACTATTTACGCTTTGGTTTAGCCATACATCATGAAAACCATATTTACATAAAATATCTCTGACTGAACATGCCCAATTCAATTTGTCTTTGATTTTTTTAAATGAAATCTCCAATATATCTTCATAACATGCTTTTAATATAGTTATCAGTATTTAATAATTTAAACCAAAACTGAACCACTATTCTTTGTCTTTCATAATACGTTGGGTAACGTCCCAATTCACAATAAACCATGTTATTAACAGCAGTTTTTCGAACCTTTAGAATTCGTTTTAAAAAATACAAATGTACTTTCTCTATATCATCAGCTTTATGATTACCCCACACTTCACAGCTATAATTAAGAATACTAGATACATAAGTATTAAAAAAGGACAGTAACGTTTCACAGTTATAATAATCATCTACAATTTTACTACATAAAGCAAAAACAGCCATTTCTACCTTGATTGGCTAGCATTTTTTGTTTATGTAAAAAACTACCATTATAGTTAACAAGGATACCTTAATATACAAATTTGTCATATATATCAAGTTGTTATTATTTGAAAACCAATTGTCTTGACTTTGTACACTACCTCTGTTTCTAAACACGACTACTTTAGTTTTAGAAATATTGATATATAAACCATATTCCTTTGAAGAAGAGTTTAAAGCATTTATCATATTTTGCGAATCCTCTATGTTCTCGCTAAATAAAACAATGTCGTCTGCGTACATAAGTAAAAATAAATTTAAATATTTCAACTCATATGATTGAAAGCTATTACTAATTAGCTCTATTTACATATCATTAACATACAATGAGTATAATAATGGAGATAAAGATTCCCCTTCCATCAAGCGAGTATTACACTAAAAAAAATCTGAAATTTTTCCATTACACTTTATACAAGTTTATAATTTTGAATACATAGAATTAATAACAGTAAGAAGTTTACCAGTAACTCCACATCTAACTAGACTAAACCACAACTTTACACGAAAAACAGTATCAAAGGCTTTGATATAATCGATGAAACAACAGTACAAGCGTTTACCCTTTCTTAACGAGTTAGAAATCAAAGAATGAAGACAGAAGATGTCATCAG